TTTTTTGTTTTTGTTTTAGTTTTTGTTTTTGTTTTACTCTATGTGCTCTTGAGTATGACTGGAAGTTTGTGTCTTTCAGGAAAAATATTCAATCCATTTTATGTTGTGACATTTATGGGCATCAAGTTGTTCCTTTTATTCACTTGTTATCCTTAAAATGTCATAAGATCTGTAGTGATGCCACTTCTTCTATTTCTGACATTGATCATTTATATCTTCTCCATTTTTTTTCTTGACCATTCTGGCTAGAGTTTTATCAATTGTGCTGACCATTTCAGAGAACTATCTTCCATCTTCATGGATTTTTCTCAAGTTTTATGTTTTAAAATTTGACTTCTGCTCTTATCTTGTTTATTTTCTTATGCTTCTTTTGGGCTTAATTTGCTTTTTCATAGTGTCATAATGAAAGCCGAAATCACTGAGACCTTTATTCTTTATAGGTTTAAAGCCTTTAAACCTATAAATTCCACTCTATATACTTTATAAGCTGCATCACAGACCTTTTTGATGTATTTTTATTTTCAATCATTTCAAAATGTTTTCTAATTATTCTGCAAATTACTTTGTGACCAAGGGTTATTAGAAGTATGTTGTTCAATTGCAAAATATTTGGAGATTTTCCAAACACATTTCATTACTGATTTGTTGTCTATTGTCATAGAACACCTTTTGTATGATTTTAACTTGTATAAATATTTTTCTATATGTTAATATAGTCCATGATATAGTATCTCTTGGTAAACACTACACATGCATATGAAAAAAAGCATGTATTGCTGCTGTCAGGTTGTTGACAGTGTTGTTCAGAATTTCTAAATTCCTACCAAACTTCTGCCTACTGGTTCTACAGAGGGGAATACTAAGGTCTCTATCTAACTATATTTGTACCTTTCTCTCTTTTTTGTTTCAACTCTGATTATGGCATCTTGCATTATAAGGTTATTTTATTAGCTGCACTCATATTTAGTATTGTTGTGTCTTTTCAGTGAGTTGACTTTTTCATCCTTATGTTAGTTATAGCCCTCTCAGTACCTGGTAACATTTTTTCTTCTGAAATATATTTAGTCATATTAATATAGCCAACTGAGCTTCTTTTTCTTAGTTTTCTTTTTATTAGTATTTCATAGTGTCTTTACTATTCTTTTGCTTTTAACTTGTTGATAAATTTAATACAGCTGTGTTTTACATTTTTATATATGACAATCTCTGTCTTCTCATTGGTGTGTTTAGACCATATGCTTTATTCAATGTAATTATTAATATTGATGGATTTGAAATCTACCCCACTTTTTCTTATTGGCTCTATTTTTTTTCTGCCTGTTGTCAAATTGAGTGTTTTTAATAATTTTATATTTATTTATCTTTCTGGCTCTTCATTTGTACCTTTAAAGATATTTTGGGGTACCTAGCTGGCTCAGTTAATGGAGCATGAGACTCTTGATCTCAAGATTTTGAGTTCGAGCCCCACATTGGGTGTAAAGATTGCTTTAAAAAAATCTTGAAAAATTTTTTTCTAATAAATAAGTAAAAATATTTTGAGAGAATGCCCTAGGATTTACAATGTAAAATTTTAATTTATCATAATCTAACTTCAAATAATATTTGTTTTACATGTGGTGTAAGAACCTTATGATAGTATATTTCTAATTCCTCTCTCTCATCCTCTGTGCTAATGTTATCATACATTTTACTTTTACATATGTTATATATGTTATAAACCACAAAACATTGCTAGTGTTTTTGCTTTAGGCCATCAATGATATGTTAGAGCAATTCAAAAAGAAAAAAATATATTTTTTTTAACTTTATTTATTTATTTGTGGGGGGCAGAAAGAGAGAGAGAGAGAGAGAGAGAGAGAGAGAGAGAATCCCAAACAGGCTCTGACGCAAGGCTCAAACTCACAAACCTGAGATTATGACCTGAGCCAAAACCAAGAGTCAGAAGCTCAACCAACTGAGCCACCAAGGTGCCCCAGAAAAAAATATATTTTATATTTATTTTTTTAACCATTCCTGGATATATGTTTTCATTTCTTTTTATAAACTTAATTTTTGGTCAGTATCATAAACCTTCTGCCTAAAATATATCCCTTCAGCATTTCTTATAGCATAGGTCTCATGGCAATAACGTGTCTGAGTTTTTGGTTGTCTGAAAAAAGGTCTTTTTTTTTTTTTAATTTTTTTTTCAACTTATTTTGGGGACAGAGAGAGACAGAGCATGAACGGGGGAGGGGCAGAGAGAGAGGGAGACACAGAATCGGAAACAGGCTCCAGGCTCTGAGCCATCAGCCCAGAGCCCGACGCGGGGCTGGAACTCACGGAGCACGAGATCGTGACCTGGCTGAAGTCGGACGCTTAACCGACTGCGCCACCCAGGCGCCCCTGAAAAAAGGTCTTTCAATTGCCTTCATTTATTAGAACTATTTGTGCCATGTGGAACGTTCTGGGTACACTTTTAATTTTTATTCTTTCAGCACTATAATAATGTTACTCTGTCTTACATGGTGTCAGACAACAAGTTTGATGTCAGTTTTCTATTTCTTCCTTTGAATGCAATGTGTCTTTTATTTCCACCACACCCCCACTCCTGATGCCTTCAATATTTTTTCTTTATCTTTTTTAAAACAGTTTGAATACGATGTATAAGGTGTGCATGTGTGTATCTGGGGAGGGGATTTATTCTGCCTGTGTAGAGGCTAGACAAAGGTACATAGCATTGATGCCTGAAAATGGACATGCCATTTTATTCTGCTGGAACATAAGGCAGGAATTTGAGGCATTATAGTCAGGAGCTGAGGCAGGTTTGGGTTTTGTTGCCACAATCAGTTCCAGAGCACCATTCACTCTGCTTTGGGTCGTATTATGGACTACATGTCTGTGTCCCCTCCAAATTCATATATTGAAAACCTAACCCCCATGTGATTGCATTTGGAGGTGGGGCCTTTGGAATGCAATTAGGTCATGAGCGTCCTCATGAAGGAGATAAATATGCTTATAAAAAGAGGCCAAAAGGGAGCCTGGGTGGCTCAGTAGGTTAAGCGTCCTACTCTTGGTTTCAGCTCAGGTCATGATCTCACAGGTTTATGAGTTGGAGCCCTGATCAGGTCGGTGCTGACAAGCATGGAGACTGCTTGGGATTCTCTCTCTCCTCCTCCTCTCTCTGCCCCTCCCTCCTCTCAAAATAAATAAATAAAAACTTTAAAGAGAAAAAAGAGGCCAGAGAGCTAGCTTGCTCTCTTGCTGCCATGTAAGGATAGAGAGAGATGTGTGCACCTAGAACATGGAAGAGGGTTCTCACCAAAGCTTGACCATGCTGATACCATGATCATAAACTTGCAGCCTCCAGAACTATGAGAAATAAATTTTTGTTATAAAACATCCAGTCTGTGATACTTTGTTATAGTGGCTTTGACTGACTTAGGAGGACTATTCTCAGAATTTCTGCTTCACCCACATCTTTTGGCCTCCCCTGTGCACCTATGCCTCTGAGGGGTACTCTATTCATGCTCTCACCACTCCTCCAGTAGTTATTAGCTTGTGATCGTTGCCTGGTGATGTGAAACAGGCAGATTCTCTGTTGTCCTGGTCTAGGGCAGAGTTAGGTAGGACTATGCCTGGGCATTGGCAATGCAGGTTCTCAATAATCCATACCTTACTACCTATGGCAGTGACACTTTGCAGGTCATGTGCAGACTTTCCTGACCTTTGCCCTGTGGTAGGAAACCTCTAATGATACTGGTGCAAACCCTAGGAAATCCTGTTTCCTGCTTCTCCCATGGGGCTTATATGTTTTGTTCTTAGGGGAGAGGAGCCTGCTCTATGTAAAAAAAACAAAAAAACAAAAAAACAAAAAAACATGCAAGTAGGGAGACTCCCCTTGTATCTGAGTCCCAGGGGTTCTGTCCTCTGTGCAAGCTCAGACTCAACCTTCAGAAGTTCGTTTAAAAGTTTTTCTGAAATCTTCTTACTCTGGGATATGGTGACTTTGTCTCTTACCCCTGCACTCTGCCATGGGTGAGCTAATGTTCACATCGGGACTCTCTCTGGTTTCTCGTCTCTCTGATAGGTTCATGAAGAGTTATGATTTTATAGTTAACCTGACTTTTTCTGGCTTTTTGTGCAAGACAGATGTGAGACATTGTGCTACACATGTGACATTCCAGACTCATTATCTTAATAGAGTCGTATTGTTTGCTTGCATTAATGTAGTTATGAAATCATATTTATCCTTTTAATATTTCCTGATTCTACTCCCTTTGATATCTCTCTCTTTCATCATTGGGCCCCAAAACTAGATTTATAAAGTTTTAACAAGATTATGGAAATAGAATGATACATAATGATATTTTATGTGTACTTCCTAGAATTTGAAAATAAAACATTTCTTATTAAAAATATGACCATTATAAAGGAAAGGGATTTTTATTTTCTATGGAGGCAGTCTCAAAGCTATTGCTAGATATAAGGTTTTATAATGAAGTATCATGCATGTTATAACCATCTTTTGTCCAGAACTGAAATCAGATCTCCAAAGGTACCGATTGCTTACAAATGCAAAATAAAATATCCTGCTTAATGGAATTAAGACAGTTATGTTCACCAGCGACACTTTTTCATGACTCTGAGTCATCTCAACTTCAAAGGAAACATTGCTTTTAGTATTTGTTTACAAGTAAATGCTATGATATTTTCCATGAGAAAAATGGATAGTTACAGAGAAATTGCAGTTGATTCAAAAATTGGACATTCTTACAAGTATATCAGATGAATAAAAGAAAGTGTACCTACCCTAAAAGCATTCTCTCCAATTAATTAGCTCAGTGTCCTCAAAATTTTACAGTCTGGCTGAGGCTGAATATTACTGTCTTTAAAAATAAATGCTTCATGTAGTGAACATTAAAGTCGCTTGCCGCTCCAATATTCTATAATTTTTAAGTTGCCTCTGTTGTTAGTAAGCTGATTGAAAATCACACTTACAATGAATCTCTCTGTAATTGCAGGTTTTATATGGGGAGAAATTAAACAAATGTGGGATGGTGGACTTCAAGATTACATCCATGATTGGTGGAATCTAATGGATTTTGTGATGAACTCCTTATATTTGGCAACAATCTCTTTGAAAATCGTTGCATTTGTAAAGGTAACTATCATTTATATTTTTGGTAAAGCATAAAGTTCTGATAAATACTTCCCTACCTTTGATTGCTATTAATTTTACTAATAATGTTACCTGGAGCGTTATCTTTCTGTGATGATAGATAGGTATAAAATACATTATTAATACCCAATTATAGTTTCGAAATAAATTTCACAAACAATTTGAAGTTGTCACCCAATTTTGTTGCATATTATTTGAATGATGCCTCAAAATTACTCACAATAGTTGCTCTGGTTTTGAATCCTTTCCATTTCTCATAACAGTCTACCTCAAACACTGTTTAAATTTTGGCAACCAGAATCTATTTTTATCAGTTATAACTAACCGATAACATTACCTAGACCAATCAAAATATTACTCATTCAAAGCATTGAAATTATTATTTCAGTTCAAACTAATATAGTTTGATATAATTAGAACAGAATATAATTTCCTTTTCCTCATCCCATTCAACATGACAGCGCCTGAAGTCTCATACACCCATCACTCCCCCAGATTCTGTGCAATATCAATCTTTTCCAAACCACATAATTTCTGTAAAACATTTTGTTCTGCAATGACAACTGGGATTATTTTGTACTTTGGGGGATATTTTTCACATCAAAGTATTATCTCCTTCTTGCCTTTCTTTTTCCCTCTTTCTTTGTCTCTCCTTTTTTAAAAATTTGTTTCAAAATGATTAGTGTACTAGCAAAAAATAAAGAGTGTCTAATTGGGCTTTACATGAATAATTCATGCAATTTAGTGATCTGACCTAGAAATCCTAACGTGTAGGTGAACTCATTCATTTAGTCTAGTTCCTAAAATAGTGGCCTGAGTCTCCCTTGTATAGTGTTCAGCTCTGTCAGGGTCAAAAATGCCCATAGTTGGAAAGGCCTTAGTTTCCAGAATTTGTTCAATTAAAATGTTGCCACTCACCAAATTTCATGCCTACAAATTTCATGGAAATCAAGCTATATTTTAATAATAGAATCATAACTTGGTAATTTTTCCTATCTACTTTAGGTTAATGCCCTTGAAGACCTTAAGAGAGCAGAAGGTACTGTCTTAACCAAGGAGGTTATGCATCTATATATGAGATGGGCAGTCTGTTCAGTGAATATCTGTCCAATTTCTATTTTCTTTGTAATGATCCTTAAGTATGTCTATAAAGTTGTTTTGGCCATCTCTCAACTAAAAAATAATATATCTGTTTTTTTGTGGCCCAATACGGATATAAAACTCTGGTATATAGAACTATAGCATTTCTTCTAAAACTTTCCAGTGCAAAAACATCACCTGGAAAGCTTTCTAAAACCCAGATTCCTTTTCTCCATCCCCAGAGATTCTAAATTTAAGAGTATTAGAGAGGGTCCTAAATTTGCATTTGTAGCAAACTCATCAGATGATGCTGATGTAACTGGTCTAAGGAAGATGATTGGAATGACACTGGACTGTATAATTCTATTCAACAGCTAAGACAAGTATGAGATTGATCCCAAATGGAACTTCTTTCATGTATTTCTTATATGCAATATTTGTACTAAGATACGGAATACTTTTACATGTTACATTTGATGGTGTTTATATATGGTACATATACATTTTCATATATGAGAACTCTGGTATATAGTAGGTACAACTACATAAATTAATGGGTACTTGTGGATTTTTTTGTCTCAGTTTTAGATATGGGATTTGAATTTTCTTAAAAAGTTGTAAATTCTTCATGTGCAACATCTATTTTAATATTAAAATATAAACATTGTTCCTAATACTACACCAAGGAAAAACTTATGCTTAAAATTCAAGCATCACTCACCTCATGTGATGAAGAAGGAGAAAAGGAGATGGAAAAGTGCACAGAAATTACCTCAGCTGACAATGATGTAAATAACATGGAATCTTCCAGAAATATAATTTGTTTATGCATTGCGGTCATAGGAGTCCAGCTGTGATTGTATGTGTAAAGTACAAAATGTTCTTTCTGAATGATTAGTTTGTGTAACTAAAACTTGAGTTGCATGGATAGAGTTTGATGGGTAGTATTTTCTGGGCTCACTTCCTTCCTCCAACACTTACTAGTTATGTGAACTTGGACCTATTTCTTCACCTCCCTTGCCTCATCTATAAAATAAGGAGACTAACAATTTCTACTTTGTGCTGTTGGTATGAGAAGTAAATGAGTTGACATAATTTAAGTGCCTGTTATAGACTAAGCCTGCATTATTAATTTTTCTTCTCTTTTACTCCAGTATCCTCCCTCGTCTTCATATACTATGAGTCCATTAGACTTACCTTTTTAAATGTCTTTATTATGTCTCTTCCTTTATGTTAGTTGAAAAAAAGATTGAGCTCTGGATTCACACTCGCCTTTACCACATGAAACCTGTGTGATTTGGGGCAAATTACTAAATGAAGGTCTCAATGTGACCACCTGTTAAATGATGATAATAATCAAAAGAGCACTTACTTTGGGAGTCTGTAATGCTCACTTGTTGACTTACCTTTCCTTTCTTTTATCATTCAATTTTCATGCTAATTTTAAATAATTTATAAGTTACTATTTTAGGAAAAGGTGCTATATTTGTACACAAAAATAGACTGTGCTATATATAAGGCAAACAGCTATTACGTGAATTAATCAATAAGAATTTCTGGGAGCATACTAAGAGACCAGGTCTTCATCTGTTTGCTGAAAATGCAAAGATACCTGGGGTACACCTCCTGCTTAAGCAGTCCACAGTCAGGTTGTGGAAAGAGAAATGCATGTAAATAAGAATTTCCCATTTGATAAGGTCTACAGCAGGGGCTATGGTAGCATCGAGGAAGGAACTCAACTCTACTGGAAGTGTCCTGGAAGACAGAGCCAGAAAGTATCCATTGGGTTCATGAAAGTGCATTAGCATTCTGGAGAGAAAAAATACAATGTGCAAAAAAGTCTGAGTGTATAAAGGAGATCAGTATCTAAGAGAAATGATCCAATAAATGGGAGCAAGGCTAGGATAAGAAGGACTTTTCACATCCTGCTATAGAATTTGGGCTGTGCTCTGTTAAATAAAGAGGAACCATGAATGAGATTTAAGCAGAGAATGAGTCAAATGATAATGGATGCCTGAAGTAGAGAAATGAACATAGGGGAAGTTGATAGAGAGCTGGTATTCAAAAAAAAATTAGGAGATAAGAGCCATAAAATAGATGATTTATTAATTATGAAATATGAGGTAGATGGAATCACCTGATGCTGCTTCCTAGTGAATAGTTTGCCTATTATGATGCAGGCAAGATTACCAAGGAGTTATAACAAGGTTATCTGTAATATTGTAGAGGTTCTACCTCTAGTCTGAAGGTGCATAAATGGGAGCAAAAATCCAACCCTAGGTCTTTTTGTGCAAGCCATGGATCCAGACCAAAAAAACTATTAGTCCACAAAAAGGGAAACCTTTCTGTAACTGGTCTATCGAGGAGGAGAAACTTTTAGAATAGGTCTGGCAGAAGGGCCACACTTGCTTAATTGGCTTATCATTTTGTGATTCATTCATCTAGAGGGAATTTTAACACACACACACACACACACACACACCAAAGGGTCCTGCTAACTAAGGCCATAATTTGAGTTCTGATCCATACTTGATCTGAGTATCACTGATACCACTTCCTACCTGTGTGATTTGGAGCAAGTTACTTAATCTATACCTCAATTTTCTTATGTATAAAATGACACTAATAATCAAATCCTATAGAATGTGAGGATTACATTAATAAACACGTTTAATGTCATGGAACAGAGCTTAATATAAGCACTCAGTAGTTGTTTTAACTTTTGTGTACAATGCAACAGCATTGCATTGTAGAGACATAGACAGTAGAAAAGTATGTGACTTCAGTATTCTCCTCCTTACATGCAAGGCTGTGTGGTGCTTCCTTAAATACCTTGATTCTTGAACATTTCATGGCTCATGGATTGATTGTAAGCTTTTATTTATTTATTTTTTATTTGCTCTTAATTCTTGAAGGAGAAGGTTTGTCAACCACTTCCGCTTCTCACTCTGTATGAAATACTAGTTAATCCAGAGCTTGTTGATGCCTGGGCACTCTTAAAAAAATGTTACTTTATCTTCATTAGAACTGGTTTTGTCCTAAATATTTCCCAGTCCTTTTTTCCATTAACAACTTGTCTCATATTTATCTTCAGTCATTTGGCAGAAATGACTAAATTCCTATGCCTATTCCACTGTGTAATAGAAGTAATATTTTCAAAAATTAAATTTATTATAGACAAGAGCATTTATTTTAACAGTCATGATGGAATTTTTCATAGTACTATTCTTCTAAATAGTTCTAAGTATATATCTCATTGATCTATTCTTATGAGCTAGAAAAGAGGCAAATATTGTTTTTATTTCACAAATGCTGTAACTACAGTATACTGTCCAAATTATGGAATTTTCTAAATATTCTTTAGTTTTATGGCACAGAGCTCTGTAGAGATTTAAATCCTAATTGTTTAATCTAGTATTATCTGTTACAGAAGAAAATCATATGCCTTCTTATTGTCTTTCATTACTTCATTATCTAACCAACTTCATTATCTAAACCAAGGAAAGGTTTTCTCCTTATAAATCGAAATTAAAACCAGTATATACATTTTGTTTACTCTCATATGACAAATATTTTCATTTTGTATCAATTTAATTTTTTATTCACTTTTTATAGATTACTTGAGTTTTATAAGTATGCATCAAAGACTACACATATATAAAGAACCCAGTATTATGATTCAGTTCATCTTCCTCTAAACATTCTGCTAAGGTGTTCACGACCTGGCTCCAACTTCCTCTTAGATTCATCACTATACCCAAATTCTCCATATTCTAGCTATATTAAGATACTCACATTTCTACCAATGATTCATCTTTTCTAACAACCATGAATGTGTCTATGATTCTTCACCCTAGAATGCTTTTTGACCTCCTGTCATATATAAAGCACTCTATTAGATGTTTGGTTCTGAAAATGCATTAGACAAAGCTCCCTACATGGAAAACTGACAGTAATCCAAGGTTGAATATTCTCTTATATAGGTCTGCAAAGGAGCTAGTCTCTTAAAAAAATCCGAGTAAAAATGAAGGTTTCAAACAAAACCACACTACGGTACATTTATACTAAAAAGCAAGTACTTGAGAGAAAAAGGAAACCAGGAATTGATGGTCCTAGAAGGACTTCAATGTGTAGAGTAGCTCTTGATTTTTCTCTTTCCTTTTTTTAAATTAATTATTTTTTTAAATTCAAGTATAATTAACAGACTTGATCTTTCTCTTTCAAGGATTATTCTGTCACATGGAACCACCAGTTCTGGTCAGCAGGATCCTAGCGTCCATTCATCCCCGTCAAAGAGTACCTGTCAAGGGAAGGATTAGCTTTTCTTATTTAATGTCTGCTTTCTTCACTATATTGTAAGCTCATGTGACATAAACTGCATTTTATTTGCTCACCATAAATTGCATTTTATTTGATGGTGTCTGGCACAGCGTAGGCACTCAGCATATATTTAATGAATAAATAGCAGATGAAGAATCATAATAATTGGAATTTAAATCCGCTCTGGACATAGGGCCTGATGTTCATAGAAAGGAATTTTGGTGAGACTGTGAGGGAAATCTGGGGAGTGACCAGTACCAAAGGTTTGAGCCAGAGCATTAAGTACCAAACTGAGAACAAATGGCAGATCAATCTCAAAAGAGAGTCAGGACCCAGATTCCAGAGGCTTCATATGACATGTTGAAAAACTGGAATTTCATCTCAAGGACATTGCAGAATCATTGAAGAAAGAACATTAAACAAGATATGAGGTGGTCTGACTGGCCCTTTTAAAACACAATTCTGGAGGAAATGGGCCAAAGTAGAAATAAGATACAAGGCAGGGAGAGCAGTTAGGAGGCTATTATAATAATTTCTGTGAGAAATAGAGGAACTTCTTTAAGACAGTGAGGGTACCAGCGAAGAGGAGTGAGCGGTATCTATGAGATTTTAGTTTAGAGCCTGTGAGTTGGGAGAGGAAGAATCTAGGCTCAACCTCAAATTCTGCTTTGGGAGATTTGCCACCCCTCATTAAGATCAGAGAACGTAAATGGAGAGAGAGCTTGAGGAGCAACAGAGCACGAATTCCAATTCTGACCTGTGTGCTTGAGATGCCTGTGAGATAACCGTGTGGAAAAGTCAACAAGGCGGTAGAATATAAAATATGACTGTAAGGGGAGACATCCAGGCGGAGATGTAGGACTGGGAGTCATCAGCACATAACGGACAGTTGAGATCACTGAAAACATCCAGGGAGAGTAGGTAGAATGAGAAGAGAAGAGGCTTGCAAAGCAAACTCAGTTATTTAAGGAGCAAGTGAGAAAGAAGGATCTGCTAGGGACACTGGGAAGAGGCCTCACAAATGGCCAGAGGCAAACATGGAGGGCTAAAAGCGTGAATATAGATTTTGTGACTACGTTTTAGAAAACAGAGCCAAAGAGAAATTTTAAATTCAAGTTAAGCTTTTAATTCCTAATCATAGGGTGTGGAAAAATACATTTAACATTGAAGAATCCTAATTTTTCTCTACAAGTTCAAAGGACGCCATGGTTTGAAAGAATTTTAAAAATCTCCTTGTAAAACAATGCCTCTATGTAGAAACCAGAGCTAAATGTATGCGTGAATGACAGGAGAGAAATTAAAAAGCAGAACTTAAAAGAATGAAATCAAGAGCTAATTACTAAATGTTTATATCTCTATTTAATCCTGACAGGAAGCAAGTTTTCTGGATCAGAGAACAGACAAATTGTTTACTTACATAACAATCTTAACATTGGTCCCCCATGCTCCAATTCCCCACAGGGCGACAGATGAGAGCCAGATGCACCCTTCACATGCAGGAGTTTGTACCACAGGAGGGGAACTGGGAAATTATGAATCTCAGAGCTTATAGAGTACAGCTGTGCCAGCTGCCCATCTTCCCCCACCGCCCCCCCCCCCCCCCCCAGAAAGAGAAAGACCTTAACTTTCTAAAGTAAACAAATTCTCTCAGGGGAGGCAAAGGTCCCTAGTTTTATTATCCTTAGAATCTAAGCAGATGGCTCCAGGGGAGATGTTTCCAAATCTCTCAGAAAGTCTCTATATTTAACTTCCAAGGCTTATTTGCCATTCAGACATCTTTTAACAGCCATGCAATGTTTTGCTCAGGAAGCCCTGACCATGCATAAATGTGAACAGATTCACATAGCATTGTTTCCCAACAATTACCAGAAGTGCTAGACTTTGAAGCAGACTTGGGTAATTATACTGGGGTAGAATCTAACATCTCATGATTTGTAAAATGGAAAACCTTTCGCATGATTTTGCAAGTCCCAGCTGAGACAATTTGCTAAGAAGGGATCTGAAGTACCATATCACCATGTGATGATGGATTCTATATCCAACTGCCTCCAACTGCCTGTGAAATCTAGAACGAGGAACAGTGTCTCCAGTAGATGCCATAACATCAAAGGACCCTTAAAGCTTGAACAACATATAGTCTCTATTCATTGCTGGCCCCATCAGCCCCAGACAGAATTTATCACTTTCTCTATATTCCCACAGCACTTTGTGTTAATCTCTTAGAGCATTTTTATTATCAGGTGTCCCTCCCATCCTCACGGGACAGTAAGTACTCGTTGGGAGAAAATGTTTGAGCCGTACAGGATATTGTGTTAAACATTATGAGGAATTCCAAGTAAAAAGATCACATCCTTAAGAATGCTTACTATGTCACATTTTGTACATTTTGAGATATAGTCCTAAGCCATATTAGCTTAAAGAGAAAGAGAAATATAGAATTAGCTATCAATGGGGGGCTGGGGGATGTTCTCTATTTAAACGTGTCTTTCGGGAGAAGCAAGACAAAGAAGGTGAAGGTGGTTTTAGTCTTTGAAGGCAGAGGTGGCATCATATATGGGACAACCAAGAGAAGAGAATTAGGTAGTGGCTGATACCATAAACCCTCACTCTGATACTTGTGATAATGAATAAAAAATATTAAGTTTTTAATTCTTCATGTGTCTTCAATGATTAGCTATTTTATGCTGAAGTTGAGAATGTTCAAGAACAGTTATCAGCATTTAAAAATAGAAAATAATTTCCCTTTAGCTCAAATTGGATTGTTTTAAATTGTCATTCAAGCAAGAGTCTGAGTGTTGAACAAAATCAGGAGCTTGTGATGTATTTTGTCCCCGGGGAGATTAAAAGAATACTATCTATTGGTTTCAAGAGAATTAATTAACATTTGTAAAGGTCTTTGGTATAAAATGCAATATAAAAAGAATAGAAATATTCTGATATTCCAATGGGACTCATACAGGAGTAGAACTGTTTTTGCTAACATGATTATTAGGAAAAAGATCATGTTGTTTGGACATATTTTTTAGGGATGTGTATGAAGAAGATGACTCAATTTATTGTTTGATTCCTACACAAGTTTAATTATAGATTTTTGTAACACAGTACTTCAAAGAGAATATTTGGCCTTTTTTTTTTAAGGATATAAATTTACCTCAATAATACAAGGGATAAAACTCATCTTGCTTTTCATGCAGCTCAATGTCAAGATAATTTAAAGCTGGCATGTCAACTGACTAAGTCTTACTTTTTAAATAATTGCTGGTCAAAGTTTAATGTAGCAAATATTCTTTCTTAGATCACATATTTTATCTAATTAAGGAATCTTCAAAAAAAATCACATGTCCTACATATTAAATATAACAAAATTAACAATTCATTGACTTCCAGGATGGCTTCCAAGTTGGGTTTTATCTGCTTTAGGATACAACAGATACAAAGCACCAACATTTATACCCAGAGTGGTCATTCCTATTTCCAGGGCAATGGACCAGTACTTGCACTCACTTATATGGAATTTGTATCCTGCATGCATGCATCTAGACTATGCAAGTGTGTAAATACAGAAAGTAAAGCCCTTGAAATTTTGTTCAAAATTTGTAGTTTTCCTTTATAATGTGTCTTTCTTTGTTATCGTGCTGCTGCTCTTCCTCATATAAAATCAGATTTTTTTTTTTTTCTATGTAACATGTTCCTTTTCTTTTTTGAAAGTTCCATCGGAAAGGTCGAGGCCAGATGCAATTCACTTATAAACAAACATACAAATGACAAGGACAGACCAGGAAGGTCACTTTGATTAAAGCTTATAAATTATAAATTGCTTTAATAAACTCTTATTTTTGTGTAGATGAATATTGCTGCCACCATCGTGGAGGATATCAGCCGCTGTGAAGGGCAATAGGCCACGATGCTAGATCTACCTGAAAAAGCATTCTGGCCTGAACTTGACATAGTCATATACATATGAGTTTGTTTTACTTTTTCTTTTCTCTCCAGTACAGTGCTCTGAATCCACGAGAATCTTGGGACATGTGGCATCCCACTCTAGTGGCTGAAGCTTTATTTGCCATCGCAAACATCTTCAGTTCCCTGCGCCTGATCTCACTGTTTACTGCAAATTCTCACCTGGGGCCTCTGCAAATATCTCTGGGAAGAATGCTCCTGGACATTTTGAAGTTCCTATTCATATACTGCCTTGTGTTGCTAGCATTTGCAAATGGCCTAAATCAATTGTATTTCTATTATGAAGAAACAAAAGGGTTAAGCTGTAAAGGCATACGATGTGAAAAGCAGAACAATGCATTTTCAACGTAAGT